CTATCTGAACATATCCACAACTATCCACCTATCCACCTATCCATCCATATAATGAACTATCTACCTACCTATCTATCTATCTGAACATATCTACAACTATCCACCTATCCATCCATATATTGAGCTATCTACCTATCTATCTATCTGAACATATCCACAACTATCCACCTATCCATCCATATATTGAGCTATCTACCTATCTATCTAACCATATATTCATCTACCCATCTATCTACTCATATAGTCGTCTATCCATCTTTTTGCCTACCCATGTACCGATCTACCTATGTATCGATCTACACAGCTATCTCCCTGCTAAATATATAGTTAGGTAAATCCCAGTGATAATATCACTGAGATATGACATGTATTGGACGACTTCGTTCCCTTTTCATGCTTCTACTAATTGTCCAATTTCCCGTTAATGGATCATACAATTCAGTACTATTCAAGATCGTATGATTACTAAAGCCACCAGTAACTAATACAGTACCGTTTGCGAATAGGGATGCTGTGTGCTGTTGTCGTATATATGTCATTTTGCCAGTCATTGTCCAAAGTCCTGTTGATGGATCATACAACTCACAACTATTTAGAGGTTCGGTACCGTTTCCTTGTCCACCAGTGATTAATACTTTTCCATTTGGTAATACGGATACTGTGTGATCACATCGTCCATAATTCATACTACCAGTAGTTGTCCAAAGTCCTGTTGATGGATCATATAGCTCAGTACTGGCTAGAGAAACTTCATTATTACATCCGCCAGGTACTAAAACTTTGCCATTTGATAGCAACACTCCTGTAGGTAACAGTCGTCCATCATTCATGCTACCAGTTGGTTTCCAACTTCCTATAACTGAATCATATATTTCAACAGTATCTAGAATACCAATATCATTATTAAATCCACCGATAACTAATACTTTTCCATTTGTTAATACTGATGCTGTATGATCGTATCGTCCATCATTCATACTACCAACATTTGTCCAGATTCCAGTCGATACATCAAACATTTCAGTGCTATCTAGAGAACCGATACCACTTGCTAATCCACCAGTCACCAGAAGTTTTCCATTTATTAATAGAGATGATGTATGGTCGGATCGTATTTGATTCATTCTACTAGTCATTGACCAGGTTCCTGTTAGGTGATTGAACAATTCAGCACCACTTGAATCACCACTATCTACACTGGTGCCAACAACTAAAAATTCTCCATTCCTTAATATAGATGCTGTTGGGCGAATTCGTGTATAAGTCATACTAGTAGCAGTTGTCCATCTTGTTGCTTGATGATACCATTCAGCATTAGTTATATAACTACTATCATTATATCCACCAAAAGCAAAGACAACTCCATTTGAAAATGCGGATACAGCATGCGCTGATCGTCTATCGTGCATGCTACTAATCACTGTCCATATTCCTGTTGACGGATCATATAACTCAGTACTATTGAGACTACCATTGGCATTCATTCCGCCCATAATTAACACTTTTCCATTTGGTAATAATGATGCTCGGTGTTTTTGTCGTGGATAATTCATACTACCCGTCAATATCCACATTTCTGTTGATGGATCAAAAAATTCAGCACTATTTAAAGCATCACTTAAATTATTACGTCCGCCAGTAACTAACACTTTTCCATTTAATAATATCGATGCTGTATGATCGCACCGTTCATTATTCATGTGACCAGTCATTGTCCAAGTCTCCGTTGAAGCATTATAGATTTCAGAACTATTGAGAAAGCCATCATGACTAATTCCACCAACAGCTAACACTCGATCATTTTTTAGTACAGATGTTGTATGTGCCTGTCGTGCATTGTTCATTTTACCAGTATAAGACCATACTAAATAAAAACATTACAGTTTAGTCATTCTGTTTATAACTTTTGTATTAATGCCTTTATAGTTAGTAAGCTAGTTTTTTCTCGAAAAAAATGTATAAAATCATCTAACAATATTTTGTAGGTAACTAAAAATTATATTGAGCAATTTAGTGATCCTATTCCACGTTATTTCATGTCCTATTAGCAAGGTTATCGTCAAGTTTGGCATAAAATATACTCGATACTTGTTCAGATAACATTTATCTAACACTGATAATGAACATATCATCGATCAGAATGATGTGCTTTTACGCTGGTGAGATATTTTACTTCTGGAAATTATTTTATTCGAAAGTAGAGGTTATGAAGGTTAATGACCGTTATTTAAAAGCTTACCTGATTGTTGAGTTGTAGTTGTTGTTGTTAACGTTGATGTCGAAGTTGTCTGTGAAGATGTGGATGTTGTTGTTGTTTCAGACGATGATGATGCAGTGACTGTAGTAGTGTTCGATTTCTTTGGTGTTGTAAAAACGAATAACCACAACAGCGAGAAAATAACTACCAAGATTATTAAAAATATAAGGAAGAACAAGGCAATATTAAACAAGCGATGATGCCACCATGCAGATGATCGATAATTTTCAACATCAAATTCAGAATAATTTGGTTTTTTTTTCATAGTATATTCTACTAAAAATTCAGTTAAATAAAAAAGCCTGTTTTTATTTAAAATTACCTTTAAGATATATAAATATCTCTAACAGTGTCACTCAAAACACAAAAGATAAATAATATTGTATGGTATGTCATGAATACAGCTATGCTTTAAATTTTACAGGTGAGTATGATTATACACAACGATGTTTTACTTATCAGTTGTTTGATATCGAATAAAGCCCGTATAAAAATCCTTTTTTTTTATATTCATCTTATACTATAGCTCAAGAAATTTTCTTTGTTGTTATATGTTATAGATACCTCTTGTTTGTTGATGTTTTTACTTGAAGGAATACTTATTTAAATGAGTTCATTACAAAGCGAGTGAAATATTTTAACTATTGCTAGAATTATAAATAAGATATTCTAGTGAAAGTATTTTTATCAAATAGTAACCATAATTTTGCGTATAATTTCTCTAGGGGTAGGTATGAGTGTGCGTGTTGTGGTTGCGGGTACTATCTTCTTTGTTCTCATTCACACCCACACCCACACTCATACCCAATTTTGTAATGGGAATGAAGAAATAAAGCATTCTTGCAAGTAAAAGACCAACATTTACAAAGCAATTAAACTTTATAGCAAATTCTTTGCTGTTTTCTAATTGTTTCTTTCATTTAGAAAACAAAAAAATAATATTCTGAAAAATACGCAAGACATTGTTATTAGAAACACATGTTTCTATTGCTTTAATATTAATTAAAATTGTCCATGTCAATTCTAATTTTGTTTATTTTAGAGATTAGTTGTACATTATATCATATTCTAACCAACACTCAATCCTTCAAAATGTAGAATAGCTTTGAATTTTTGAAGGCTGTTTTATGTAACAATGCACATCATCAAAGAAAAAAGAGAAAATTATATATTACAAAAAGTCCATTAAAAATAAATGTTTGTGTCATAAGGAATAAGTTTCTATTAAATGTAGAGAACTTCAACAAAAATTCTTATCGTACTTAGAAGTTAATAATTATTAACTACTGTTACTTTGTTAAGTGCGAATCTACATCAATCTCTACATCTACACTCTGAATGATATATTTTTAGTATTTACCAAATGATTAATCATGTTCGAATAGATTGTACGTTTTTTGCAAAAACTATTTTTTCAGTCGTACAAACATAGCGAGAAAATGCTAATAAGCAAATTTTTTCTTTGCTGTTCATTTTATATATTTTCTGCCATAATTATTTAATAGATAGAAAATACATATGAAAAATCATGTTTACATTTCTATGTATTAGGATTGTGACATCCTTTGAATATATGAACATGCATTACTAATTTCGGAAGCATAATACATAATATTAAAGATCCAATAGAAAGAGAAAGCCACGTTACACGATAGATAATCGGATCCAATTTGTTTTGAGATATCCAAAAGATAATTAGATAGATAATAGTTGGTATATTCATTACACTAAGTATAAAAATCATTATTATAATACGATGAATTACTTTCACATCTCGTCTATTACGTAAAAAGGGTAATTGCTTAGATGAACGCTGTCGTATTGTTCGAACAATTTTAACATAACATGCAGAAATAATTATAATCGGTATCCAAACTTCTGCAACAGAAGCGTATACAACTGCTGAAAATTTTTCAAATTGTACACCACAATACATTTCATTTGGAAGTAAAAGATGAATACCATTTAGACGAGTCAATAGAGGTATAACAATAGCAAATGCGATTAACCATTGAATTGGAATAAATAGAAAAAGATAAATTTTAATATGATTAATCCATGAATTCATCGGATAAACGACACGTATAAAACGAAAAAATACTTGTAAAGAATAACTCCAAAAGACACTACAAATAACAGAAAAGAATATAAAACCACAAAGACGACATTCCAATGAATCGAATTTCCATCGAAATAAACTCATATTAAAATCATGACATATCGTCGATAGATTAACATGTATAAATAACACGATAAACATTGATATAAATGCACATAATGTATTCAATGTTAAATACAATGAAATACGTTCACTCTGTCCTATATACATAGTTACTAATCGATAGATAATGAGAAAGACAAGAATTAAACTTATAATAAATGCAAATAAAACAATAATAGCTGATATAATATTGATTGATATAGCTACAATTGTTGTTGATATTGTTGAATTTAGCATTGGAAATAATATACTATTGTACTTTAATATCGTGAGAAATAAGTAAAGGTGGACATCAAATACTTTTGATATTCTGAAAAGAAAAAAAATTAATTCCAATGTATTTTATAGTTAGTGTTACTCAAAGGTATATTCTTGTCACTTTGAAAAATCTTATAAAAAAAATAGATTTATTGTTAATTTGACAATCAACTTACTATTATTTTTCTTCAAGGGTTCTTATATTAATCTCTTCGATTACTGTTTTATCATTAAAGAAAATGTGATAAAGTACAGAACAAAGTTCTTCTTTTATGAATATCTGTCCAAAAAAAACAAAGAGTCAATTAATCGACAAACTTACATCTACTAAAACATGATATACATATAAGTATTATACAAGAATTACTCAAATTTAGTATAGATAATAATGTTAATGAAGAACGTAAGTAGTGATACTCTTGCAAGAATGAAAGAAATAATAATTGAAGTAGAGACAAGTAGAACGACGTATTTCTTTTCTTTATTGAGATCTTGATAGTGTCAACAGATTGAATAGTAATTTTTATTTCTTATAAAATTCATACGATAAAATAAAGACACAAAGCAATTAGTCAGTAAAATGACATCTGTCAGTACTTTCAATTCAGAATGACAACATCATTAATATTAATATTCTTTTTTTTCATTTATGTCATGTTTACAAGAGAAAAATCAATTGAACACGTGTTTATCTGTTTCACACAAGAAAAATTTAACAAAAGGTTAACCAATACTTGAAACATGTTTCTAATCAAGCTAGAATAGACACCGTTACATGTTATCTTTTTTGAATATCATCTGGACTGAAGTAGAGTGCTTAGTGCAGAGAGGTATTCACAATAAAAAGTCTTCCTGGTGAACACGACAAAAATGTAATTATGTATGATTGCCTGTTAGAATCGTCGTTATTCGATCTTTTTTTTGAAAGAAGAATATTGTGGTTTTGATGAATACAGAATGAACAATTTGTAATGTTACTGTTGCTATCGAACACTATTAGCAATATTTCACACTGATATATTATCGACAATGACCAGCAACTATGATCGCCAGATCTCGTTATTATATAAACTGTTTGTCTATCTTCACATTCTTTTTTATCATTACTGTTTAAAATAAAATAATACACCTAATTGTGCATAACACTAAGGCAGATATCGGTATACCTTTAGAAAGAAAAAATGAAAAGAAGCGGATGGTCCACTTAAAAATATAATAACGCCTGCTAAATCTTCAATATATCGCTTGATGCTTTATCCTTTCTTTAATTACATATTTTTTTTTGTATTTATCAGAGGGTGGATCACAACGATTAGAAGTAATGGAAAGAATATTAAATTTCAATTATATTGACTTAAGATACCATCGATATTTTAGAAATAAAAACACACACTGTTTCATTATATTCTCTTATTTTAAAATCAACTATGAATACAATCAACATTCATTGCTATATTGTTTTCATTATTCTCAGGTAAATAATTATTTATTTTTACTCTTCATTTTGTTAACATTAATCGATTTCATATTTTAGTATTACAGGTTTGATTTCTATTCTATTCTATAGATGTTTATATGTATTAGTTCAACACTTTCATAGTTCAAATACAATCTCAAATATGCGAGAAAACTGCTCAGTATGGCCAGTGTTCGACAAACAATGCTTGCGGCTGTTTTCATATGTTAGGTGCTGATGACGGTGTTGGTATTTGTGGTTTCCTCTGGCCCACATGCTCTCGTCTTGTACCATGTAGTTCCTCAGACAACTTGTCCTGGGCTGCGATTCGACCTATTTTTCCTATAAATCCTATATTTTTGACGAATCCTCTAATTTGTCCTATATTTCGACTGCTTTTCCTATTTTACCTATATTTTATCGAAAAACAGAGAAATATAACTGATTTTATAAAAATATGAGAAAATAAAAGATTATTCAAAGAGTATTAGCCGAATTTTACACCGACAAGCTAGTGAGTACTGAGAAAGTCAGTCTTTATACATTAAAAAAAAGATCGAATATATATATATATATATATGCGCATGTAGAGACGCTGTCAATTAATACACGTAAGACGGCGATATCTATTGTACGTAATATTATTTGTATTTTCACATCTTCGACGAATTTGCTAAGAAATTATTTAATTAAATCTTCTACAGATCCAAAAGTCAAAAGAATAAAACTAATGTATAGAAAATAATCATATGTTCTGCGAACCTTTTTTCGCAGTTTCACGTATGTACAAATGTGCGTATTTTTGTGATAAGTTTTAGCAGATAGATGCAACATGTATAAAGGGAGTGATAAAAAAATCATCACTTTTTACTCACGCTAGAAATGTCATAATACGAAAGTCCCTATTACCTAGCTCACAAATCCGGTATCTATTCGTCTAAGTCTGATCCTTTTTTTTTTGGTGTTTCCCGAAGGGCGATACCTGGCTCTCAGTACTAGACTCAGGTACCCCTCATAGAAATCGCTGAAAAAAGGAGCAGATCTAGATAAGCGGATGTCAGAATCGTGATCCAGGTGACAAGGACTTTCCTATTATGACATTTCTAACGTGAGTAAAAATTCATGATTTTCGAACATCCTCCCATGTAAATATTTTTTGTATAAAAACGCGTCTCAACTTCGGTTAAATCGCGTCTGAATTGCAGCAAGAGGAACGCGTCTGTACGCAGCGTGGATGAAACAATCCTTGCGTTTAGACGCGATTAAGAAGTAAATGCGTTTAGATGCATCTACTTAAAGGCTGTGGTCAGACGCGGTTAGAAATAAAATCGCGTCCAAACGCATCAAATGTTTCACTGACGACGCAGTTCGATTTTGAAACGATGCTAGACGCGGTTCGAACATAAACTGTGATAATAAATGAAACTGCGTCTAGACGCACCGATTGTTTCACTGAGGACGCAACTCTAAATCAAAACGATACGAAACGCAACTGAAACAAAACTGCGGTTAGTTGCGGTTAGGAATAAAATTGCGTTTAGACGCGATCTCAAATCAAATGACGTCTAGATGCTATTAGACAAACAAACGCAACTGAACGCGAGTTGAAATACGATCGCGTCTAGACGCGTTTAGCTGGATTTTAAAATTGAAAAAGAACATCACAATCCGTCTCAGGTTTGATCTGAGTCGCCATCAATATCCCCTAACGATGGTCTTTACCTCATTATAGGCCAACGGAGTGTTATTGCATTGATTTATCTAGAATTATATAAATGATATAAGCGAGAATAGAACAAGTGAACAAGCGAGAATAGAACAAGCGAACAAGCGATTAACAAGCGAGCATACATACCGTTCAGCCACATGTGACTACAATCGTTGTCATATAAATGATGAACTGTATGTGAATGGAAAATTCATATATATGTGAATGCATGTATTATTTCAATAGTCTTGACATAAATATTTTTTTTAAGTATTAATATTTCTATTTTCGTATATAAAATTAGCTTGAGTAAAAAATAATCTTATACAATTTTTTTTCGAATTTTTCAAATTTTGTTTTGCTCAAACCATTTTCGTTGTATTTTTTTTTCTATAAAACAAATTTTTTTTATAACTTTAAATGGCATCAATATATCAAAATTTATTATTTAAATATAATATTTTATTAAATAATATGCTTCTTTTTTTATTTCCTTTTTGTCATCAAATGTAAATATTAGAAATAATTTTTCAATATGCTTAAAATTAAAATCCATCAATTAAATTAGATATTTCGAAATTATTTCGACAAATTTTAATCAAAATCAAAGAATAATATACGAAGAGATTGATATTGATTCTACTCAATGTGATATTCATTTATTCATAATACTTGATGATAGGAACATTCAGTATTGTTTATAGACTCTCTATTTAAAAACAATTGTTATAATTTGATCTATTAGAAACATGTATTTCTTTGATATTTTTAATTCTTTTTTTTCTTTCTTCATCTGTATTCAAATAAAGAGATTCATATTCGAATGATATTCTTGATCAAAATATATTCTAATATAATTAATAATGAAACAAAATTTATGAAAATTAAAAGAAAATTCTCTTATACATAATTTTGATTAATTTTATAAAAAAATCAAGAAAGTCCATGAAAGATATCAAGCCATAACAACGCCACCTATAAAAAAATTCTAGAATTTTCTTATATACGATTATGATATTTAGAAAGTCTTGTAATAATCTTTCGTGATATTGATCATAAACAAGATAAAAAGATTTTCCTTTATCTAATAAATAAAAAATCCTCTAGTTTAAATCTATTGGTTTCTTTGTATTTTCAGTTTAGAACGTTTTTTTTAACGAGCATAGATAAAAGATAATCAAGATTAACACACAATTTTATGAAAAATCTCATTTTAGTATTGGTTATTTGATAGTTAATAAGTGAAATCATTATTTAAGATGAATGTAAAAGATTTTTTTAAATATTTAAAATTGAAATACTTGGATTATTAATTTTTCTGTTCATTTATTTCCAGATGGAACGACAGCAATGCCGACGAAATTCTACATCAAGTGTTCATTCACAATCAAATTATTCAAGTGTCAATATCCAATGTGAGGAAGAACATACTCATGCTCTTATTCGACGAGAAAAAGATAAAAAAGTTGTTCTTGTTTCATTGGATTATTTTGTTAATTTTGGTAAAACCATTAAAGTAAATGAAACTGCTACATACAAACCAAACGCCGATTCTCGTAAATCAGAGAGAGGGAAAGTATTACTCTTTGGTTAGTTTCTAATTATTCAATATTTTTATATAATAATTTATTGTTTGTCTTGTTTAAGGAAGTGAAGATTTATGTGTTGAGCAACTTCAGGTATTAGAAGAAGAAATTGTTGAAGAAGAGGAATTACTAGAAAAACCAACAGGTATATATTTTAGATTTTTATTTTTTTTTGTTTTCTTTCATAATAAAAAAAAAGTTCGAATTTTTTGTTAGTTGTTGCCTTGTAATTAAAAGATATTTTTTGTTTGTTCTATGCAGAAAAAATAAGCGTATTATCAGCAAATTCAAATAATATTAATCATGATAAACGTATCATGAATACAAATAAGAAATCAAGTAAGACTTCTAGTATCTGAGTTATATTAAATTATAATTTATAACTCTTTTTTTATAGCAAATCAAGTTCACAAAAAAGATAATAAAGAAAACTACGTTATGAATGATTCAACAACATCAAAACGTTCATCAAAATCAATTGGTAGGTTTTCTTTACCAATTTTTTGAATTAAAAATACTAATAAAAAGACCTATTATTACTAGTTTAATAAAAATATTTCGTAGATAAACTTTACCATTTAGTATGAGAAAGATGACTAGTATTAACGAACAAAGCTGTTTCATTGTTTTAAAGATGAATTGATTTTTATCAATATATTTCGATTTTACTTTTAATACTAATTATATTTCCATTTAGAAATTGATGATAAATCAAAAACAGATCCATCAAAGAAGATAAACTCAGCTAGTAGTATAACTATCGTTAAATCATCAACAGGTCACGTGAAAAAGACAATGCAAGTCAAACGAAAATTATTTCATGATAATGCAGCCTTCGGAACAAATGAAGACTTTTTCGAAGGTGAGAAAAATATTTATTCATTAAGCCATTGTTTAATCTATCTTTGTACGATATTTAACTTAAAGTAAAGTTATGATATAAAGTTTGATACATCATTATTTCATAAAAACAGATTATTAAATAATCTGTATGGATATTCATCTCATTGAGAGACTTCTAATGACGATATTCTTGATGAACAGTTCCAACGTATACTAATAATTTTCTCATATCTTTTGTTTATAATACATGGATTTTTGCATATAAAATCTTACATATGTCCATTAATTAACTTTTTATTTTAGATGAAGTTGGTGAAATTCAAAGTTATTCTACAAAACCAAAATCAAATAATAATGTTCTTCCTGGTGAATCACCTATAGAAGAAACGCTACCTATTATCAATCGTCAAATTTCTAATAAAACGTCAACATCAATTGCTTCATTAAGTCAAAAACAATCATTATCAGTTTCGACACCAACTAATAATTTAAGTGGTAAATTTTATTTTTTATTTATTACATTATCATGAACTATGTTTATTTAGATTCAAGCGATTCAAGTGATGGCGAAGAACTTGATGAGAAAAAAATTACCGATTTTGTTTCAAAATCAAAGTATAATAAATTGCAACGGAAGTTGCAAAAAAAGGATAATAAAATCCTTGCATTAGAAAAAAAGTTAATATACTATCAGAAAAACTATATGCGTAAGTACGAAATTAATTATAAATATCTATTTATTCCCGTACTATTTACCGGAGTTATTTAAGATTGATATATTTGTATTTAAAAAAAAATTTATTAGTTAGAAATAAAGAAATGACTGTCGATTTTTGAAAGAATATTTACTTTAATATTCATTTGTTTCTAGCTATGCCTGGTGCTGTTGTTCGTTCTTGGTTCATCACAACAGCAAAACAGTACTTTACTTCTGATTTAAATCCAACAGATATATATCAGCATGCTAAACGTTTAAATCTCGATCCGAACACACTTCTTAGTTGCATAGAAACAACTGGTACTCACACAACTCGAACAATCATCTCAAAGTTATTTTCGGAAGAAGCAATGGCACAAAAATCTGGACCTATTGCTGTTTCTAAAGATTTACGAAAAAAAATACGTGGTAAATATCATTGTTATCGATACAGAGTTGATTTAATATTTAAAAAACTAAATGATTCATTCGAATATTTTAAACTGATTCAAATTTCAAATAATAAGAAAATAATGAGCTTCTAGTTGATTTATATACTTTACAGTTTTCCATGAATTTTGGAGTGTAATACAGAGTAATTAATTATTTTTATATGAATGTTAGTCACATCAATTTTTTTGTATAACTGAAGGTTTGTGCTTTATTAAAGTTTTATTATTCCTTTAGACTTTGTTGAATCTCACCATGGTCCAATTATTGATCATCAATTTCATGAAGCAATAAACGGCTCATTTCGTCAAGCAAAAAAAGCTGCAAATGGTGCCAAGAAAGATACAACGGAATTATCTACAAAGAAAAAACAAATTAGTTCTGGTCAATTAACAATTGACAAGATGATCTTGTCAAAGCAATCAACATCAGATGTTGCAAATAAAACAACAACATCTAAAAATACAATGTCAATTAATTCTGATGATAGTGATGATTAATCATGCAAGAGATACATGAGTAGATGTCTTATTTTTTTTAAACTTCTATTAATCAAGGATATATATTCATATAAAGAGAGGAGCTTATTCAATTAGTATAGTTTTATTATTTTTACGTTATTCTAGATGACTTCTAGATCAACAATTTGGCGTCGTCGACAACGTATTAAAGATATTTTCAAAGAGAAAACATCAATAATTGATGTATCAACAAATTCTACTGATGATAAGTATGTTAACCAATAATTTATTAATTTTTACTTGAATTGAACTTTTTTTTTATCGATATGTAGATTAAATCATTCGTTTTGTGTAGATGACAATCTTTCAAGTCAAACACAATCAGATCAACATGTTGATAATAATCGCTATGAACAACCTTCTTCTTGTTCTTCTATCAGTTTTGAAGATTTCATGGCATCAATTGGAATGAATGAAGAAGAACATATATTTGGTGGTACCCAATTAGATCCAAACGCTGAAGATGAAGAGAAAATAGAAGAAAACCAATTTTTCGATCTGTACGCATTTTGTTGTTGTCATTTATAGAATCGATAATTCTTTGAGTAATTTTATTTGAAATAAAATAGTAAATGAAATTTTCATATAGTGAAAACATTCTTATCAATATCAAGTGTTAATTGATAGTATACTTCAATGAAAAATAAATATTATATTATATAAAATAAGAAATAATTTAAAATAGCGTAATATTGTCAATAATTATTAATCATTAACTTATCTACTATTAATTGTGATTTAAATTGAACATAGCCGAATATTGTAAACTCATAGAAATCTAAAATACAAGTTTTTATAACAATGTATTTATTCGAAGATTCCATCGATCTTCTCCTCTATGATTTCTTTTATCTTTCTTTTTTATTATTAGATCTGCTGATCCATCGATTCGAGAAGTTGCTGCTGTTCTTAGTTTACTCAAGATTCGACATAAATTATCAAATCGTTGTTTAGATGATTTGTGTCATTTAATGCAATTGTTGAAGGCACAAAATGTTCCAAAAAGTTCAGCGCATATAAAACGTATTCTTTTACCATTAGCAACAATTGATAATGTATCACCATCTTATTTTTGTGCTAAATGTAATAAGTTATCAACTAACGAAACAAATTGTTCCAATATCAACTGTTCTGAAAATAATGGATTTACTACAAAGGCACCTGTTTTCGTTCGAATGCCTTTAAAAACTCAAATAAAAAATGTATTAGCACGTTTTTCATCACAATATTTTCAACAATATACTAATTCTTTATTAACAAATTCATCAAATATTACTCAAGGTTTATTATATAAGAAAATTGTACAACAAGAAGGTGATAATTTTATTTCGTTAATAATGAATGTAGATGGCATAGAAATTTCAAAAAGTTCAAGATCTTCATTATGGGTAATTACATTTGTAATTAACGAATTAAGACGCACCGAAAGATTTCAAATGGAAAATATTCTTGTCGGTGGAATTGGAGCTGGTTTGTCGAAACCTTCAAGAGAAGAAATGGCTGCATATTTACAGCCAATAATTGATGAATTATTAAGTTTACAAAATGAATGTCGCTTTAAAATGAGTGATGGACATTATTTATTTTTGAAAGTATTTTTAATAGCTGGTTCATTAGATAAGCCCGCACAAGTATTAGTGCAGAATATTACTGAAATTAATGGTGCATACGGTTGTGGCAAATGTTTAATGAAAGGTATAATTCATATAATAAGTCCGAATAAATAGATTCGTATAAGAAATATAAATAATATAGATAAACTTATCGTATTAGTTTACATGTTTTCATTTTGAAAATAAAGTTATATTTATAACTATCAACTAAAAATTGATAGACATCTGATTTTTATTATTATTTACAAAAATTATTAAAAGTATTTTCTTTTATTTTTCAGGAATTACAGTACCAGTTAAACCTGATAGTAAAAAAAGAATTCGAGTATTTTCACTTCGAAAAAATGATATCCAACCTAAGTTGCGAACCAATTTTACTTATGATATTAAAATGGCTATCCCAGAAAGATTTCGACCAAAAGAAAAAAAATCTCGTCGTGATTACATGTGTGGATACATGGGAGAATGTCGTCTACGTGATTTACTTTACTTTGACGTTGGACGGTGTTTTGTATTCGATACTCTACACAATCTCTATAGGGGTTCATTTGTGAGTATTAAATATGTTATCTATAATTGATTAAACAAATTATTGTATAATAGCTGATTAATATATCAGCACTCTTCTTTTGAATTTCCAATTAGTAAATTTTTAAATAGAAATTTTTAAAAGAAAAAACAGGTCTATCTCATGATATAGTATATGGTTCTTATGATGAATTTCGTGAATTGAGTGTATTTTTTTAAATTTAATCTCAAAATATTTGTTAGTTAAAATAAAAATAATTTTCTTTTGTTTTAATGTTTTAGAGTAGATTTCTTGATCTATGGTTTGATTCAAAACATCATCGTGAACCATGGTGCTTGAGATCAAAAATGAAGCTTATAGATCTTTCTTTATCTACACATAAATATCCATCAACAACATATCGTTTACCTAGGACAATTTTAAAGTATTATCAGTTTAAAGCAAATGAACTAAGATGTATTCTTTTATTTGGTTTTTCACCATTTTGTATGTATTTACCAAAAAAATATGGTCGTCATTTTCTATTACTTGTTCTTATTGCTCATCTTTGTGAATCAAAAATTATTACTTCAGAACAATTATCACAAATTAAATTGTTAACAAACGAATTTATTTATCAATTTCCATTACTTTATGGTGATCGACAAAATGTTATATCGATTCATTCGATTATGCATTTAAGTGAATCAGTTAGAGATTTTGGTGGTGTTTACAATTATTCTACTTTCAATTTTGAAAGCTACCTAGGTTAGTTAGATCAACAGATATAGGAAAACATCGGTTAAATAATTCATAATAATGGAGAAGTGTATAGATTGCTCCAGAATAACTAGGAATCTAGTATATTTATTTTATTTGCTATTAAAACAACAGGTACATTCCATACATTTGGAGATATGAGGCTTTTAATTAAGCTTATTTAAAATAATTCAAAAATGATGTCATTTCACATGTCTTTTAAAATTAATTTTAAAAATATTTCGTCGTTTAATATTTCCATAGATAAATTGAAAATAAAATTTCAGTCTAGTCACTTCTATTTGAGAAAAACAGTATGTTTATTGAGTTTTTTCTATTAATCGTATATTAGAAAAGTAAAATCTTTATATTTTATTTATTATTTCAGGTACATTAAGAGCAACTATTCATTCAACTCGTCGACATGCTTTGGAAGTACAATCGAATGTTAACCTTCTTCGTTTATCTTGTATATGTGTTAATGAACCAACATTTAACTTTCAACTAAGTGGTTTTATTAATTCTGCTCTACCAAACATACGAAATAATAATCCATTTAAATTTCATCAACCTATTCAATTAAAGGAAATTGATCGTGATAAAGGTCGAAATAATGATATTCATGATGTACTCGGCAACGATATAAAATTATATAATACTTTTATTTTTAATGGTATTCGTTTCACCGTTGCTACACATCAAAATAATGGACAAAAAGATGATTCATGTGTGTTATATAAATTAGTTAACAAGATTCGAATTGGATTTATTATTTCTATCATACAAAAATCTGTAGATGAAAATGATTGTATTGTACAAATTCGTGATGTACCAATTAATAGATATATGTCTATTAATATAAATAACACTCAAATAACTTGTTCAACTATAATGTTTGGCAATGCTGAACAAAACAATAGTATTTTTTTTGTACGACCTATCAATATTGTAGAAAAATTAGTACATGTTTTTGATAATGCTTCAAAAATGTTTATTTTTTTTCGTTTTCCAAATATGTTAGAATCAACTTAAAACTGTTGTAAAAATTATTTGAAATAAACACTTAAACTGTCTTCATGTTATACAAATAATTATTCATCTCATAATTGCACTATTTGTACTATATTTTTTTGATCATTTACTATAGGTTTTACATCAAAGAACTTTTAAAAAGCAATTAATATTTTTCTTTCAGCAGATGAAATATAAACGGGAACATTTAAAATGAATTTTATTCGAAAGTTTATCATGAAATCGATCATGTATTTAACTCTAGATTGTTTTGTATAGCAAAGTATAATATAGCATTGTATTCATAAAAAAAATTACAATTATAAAAGTTTAATTTTTCAAATTTATATTGAAGTATGAAATTATGTATAAAGTTGACGATATAGAAAGTAATGCCATAATTTTTGAATGGTTTCACGTATCTTGATAGAAATTTTTGTCTTAAGTGTATGTAATACTAAATATTTCAACTAATAATTTCTTTCAGTTCCTGTTAAATCAAACTATATAAAAAATCAGATTGTATATTCCTTCTGATAATTTTATGAGATTTACGTTTCTTAAAACTTTAGGATACACTTTTCTTATTATTCACATTGCTGTAGAGATATAATTTAATGCAAAATCGCGTTGAGATGCGTTTGAATAAGTCTTATTAATCGCGTACAAATGCATTTTAACTAACGATCGCATTCAATCGCGTTCGAAAAGTGTATACAGTTGCGTCTAGATGCGGTTCTATGCAAGATCGCGTTCAGATGCATTTTTATCCGATTTTATGAGCCGCGTTTATACGCAGGTTTAGTTAACAACATGTTTGAATGCGTTTGAATATTTTGTATACCTGCGTATAGACGCGATCAGATATACG